CCATGTCATGAATGTTTGTGGCTGCCTCTATTCTTTCTACCTTCATCCCCCATGCAGTTTAGGGAGGGTGCACACCTCCTTACTCATCAGTATCCTTTCTGCCCTTGCCTCAATGGTGGGTTTGGTAACCTTGGTCAAAGCAATAAACCCACACCATGACCCTGATCAAAGCACATATACTCCAATTTAGAGATGTCATTGCTGGGGGCTTATGGGATCCAATGTTTCTCTCCTAAGAGGGCCACTGGAAGTGAGGTTCTGCACAGTGTGCCAAGCAGCAGCTTTCTAGACTGGGATGGCCTTGTTACAACAGTCAGAGCTGAGAGAAAGAAAGAAAACAGGACTTTGACATGTTTCAGTCACTGAATCAAATTAATCCTGAATTACCTCTGGACCTTGAGTCAATAAATCTCCTTTTATGAGTTGGGTTTTCTGTTACCTGCAAAATAAAGTTCTAACTAACACAGACCATGTATGAACCCAGATAGAGCAGGAAAAATATGTTCAATGCAATCAACAAATAGTTAAAATACCTCATATGAAGTGCTGCAAATCAATATTGGAAATAGTCTAATGTTTTCTAAAAAGGTAGATATCTTGGTAGCCAGTTCATACTAGAAGAAATACAAATGACTAACTAAGACTATAAATATATGCTTGAGCTCATTATAAAGAAAGACGACTTTAAAAACTCCATTAAAATTTCTATTTACAGATGTTAGCCAGTTATCCAATACATTCTTCTCCAATATCTTCTCAGAAATATCTAAGCCAGTAAGCAAAGATACAGACAAATATCTTATAATATGGTTTCTAATAGTAAAAAACAAAACATTCTAAATAGTCAATTAAGAATTGGCTAAGTAAATTCATGGTCCGTTAATGAAATGAAAATACTTTATATGATTCATAAAGGCCAAAGAAATGATACATATTGCCAGTGAAAGAATATTTAAGATGCACTGAATAAAAAAACTGTAGTATAATGTACTGATTATAATCTTTTGCTAGTCTATAAAGTAAAATAATCTGAAAGATTTATATAAGTATACTGTTAACAGTGGTTATGTAGGAAATGGGATTAGAGCTCAGTAGAGAAAGCCCCAACTCTGTCAGCTACTTCTGGACATAGTAGTACACACACACACACACACACACGTATAAATACAGCTACTGCCACTAAGACCACACAGCTACTGCCACTAAGACCACACATCCTGTCCATCAGGAAGTAAACTGTTATCTTTCTTTTTTCCTTTTACCTAAGACTGCTAGCTCCTTAGTGCCATAACTAGACTAGGGTAGCACATGTTTGTAGAGAATTCTAAAACCATAGCCAAAGTCAGTAAAAGTTGGTTTACCTATTACATACCATATGATATAAGCTTTTTTTTTTTTGGTCATGGGGCCTGAACTCTGGACCTGGGCACTGTCCCTCAGTTCTTCAGCTCAAGGCTATCATTCTACCACTTGAGCCACAGTGCCACTTCCAGCTTTTTCTGCTTATGTGGTGCTAAGAAATCAAACCCAGGGTCTCATGCATGCAAGGCAAGCTCTCCACCACTTCCCAGACCTATATATGTTGTAATCTTAATAACACCAGTGAAGTCAGGCACTGGTGGCTCACACCTGTAATCCTCGCTACTCAGGAGGCTGAGATTTGAGAATCATGGTTTGAAGCCAACCCAGGCAGGAAAGACTGTGAGAATCTTATTTCCAGTTAATCCATAATTTAAAAAAATATAACCAGGATTGAAGCTGTGGCTCAAAGTGGTATAGTTAGCTTTGTGTAAAAAAGCTCAGGGACATTGACAAGGCCTGATAACCAACAAATTAATAATAATAATAATACCAGTGATAGAATATCCATTCCACAGGGATTGCTGCTCTCAGCATCCCTTATTTTGCTATGAAACTGTCTCTACCTGGAGATTCATTTGGTCATGAGTGGCCAGGACACTTGCTTGGCCAGGTGCTACAGAGGATTCAGACAGGAGTGTGTTGCTCCTACCTTTGAAGAACTCATTATCTAAGCATCAGACAAGGTCACAGGTAACCAGAAATTCCCAGGGTCTCAGGCTCAACTTCCTGCTTGTTTGATCCACCTCCCTAGCTTCATTTTCTTTCTCTGTTGCCCTCATGTTGTCCTGCACCTGAAGCCTTACTACTTTTCCTCACCTTGGCTCCCTAAAAGAGAAGGAAAAAGAAGGCTCCTGATTTTTGAGAGTTAATCTTTCCCATGTCCATCCTTGCATCTTCCTCCAAAGTCTGGTTCACATTTAACACCCACTTTGCGCCTGAGTCTCGTACCTCTTCTTTCCTAAAGCCTTGGAAACATATCTAGGAAAAACATGTGGACTGGCCAATCGGGACTAGAGGCCTGCGAAGCCTTTAGCTGGTGTAGCTGTAGCTATGGGCCCCTTTCCGGAAGAGGTTTCCTTAGCAGGCTCTCTGGGGAAGAAGTTCACTGGGGAGGGCAGTGCCTTGCTCCACCAGCTTTAAAAATATGCACCTCATGGAATAGAAAGAAAAAAAGAGCCATCCACCCAGCTTAACCTGAGCCTTGTAATAGAGAGGAGAGAGTGTGGGGAGAACAAGAGGAGAGCCAATTAATTACCCTTAGAAGCAAAGGTAAAAGTTAAAGATTGCGAGACCCATTTATAGGAGGGAATAGACCCATCATTGAGCCTAGAGAATGGGAGGATTGTTTCGGGCCAGAAAAGCGTCTCAATGTTCAGATTCCATTCCTTTTCTGGAGCTCTGGAGAGAGGAAGGTCATGGCTTGGGCCTGGAAGGTACACTTAGTAGTGGGTTCAGACTGGGAGGGGACCGGTGTCTTGGATCCAATTCTGGGCCCACAAGCCTGCCCCCACCTTGAGGGAACAGGAGCTTCACTCCTGTCTGGAAGCTGCTGTGGGCTGGCAATGGAAGGGGTGCCCCTGGAGAGGCCCCCATTACCATCACAACGCTGATGTCAGACCCCACAAAGCAGCTGGGGCCCCAAATGCTGGGTAACCCTAACCCCAGCAGCGATTGAAACAGATAGAGGGGGAACTCTCCCACACAATGCCCTGGCCCTCACTTCTCTCCTCCTCCTCCTAGCACTTCCTCAAGAGCCTTTGTCTTCTGGTCCCTTGGGCTTAGAGGCTCTCTCATTCCCCACAGAATGCTGCCCATTAAACCCAAAATGAGGACTCTGGGGAAAGGGTCTGGCATTTTCTCTCTGTCTCCTCTTATCTCCCAGGCACTATTCCCCACCCTCACCTGCCAGGTAAGCAGATAAGAAACTCGGCTGTGAGAAAAGAGACCAGCTGATGACTGCTTCTCATCCTTTCCTGGGGTTGTGTTTCCCTTCTGAGCACACCACAGGAACTGCTAACCCCCCTGTCTGGTTATAAGACCTTGGAGTAGAAGTTGCGGCAGGCTGTGTTCAAAGGCTGGAAACTGGTCTGTACTGACTCTCATTTGTCATCTCCCCAAAGAGCTAAGATAAAGATAAACTCTGTATTTCAGGAGTGCAGAGTTCCTGCAAGGAGTAGTAGCTGTACTGGTCTTTTGGTATGACCTGGGTTTCCAGTGGGGTCTCCTAGAAAAGGTGGGTGACAGAGTAACAGATTTTGAAAATCTACTTGAACTATAGGAGGCTGGAAAAGGAGGTATCTTTTCAGAACTTGTCTCTTCTTCATAGGGGGAGTTACATGTCAAAGTATTTCAGTCAGTATTTTAGACACAGATCTTCTGTAGGCATTGATGAAAGCCAAAAATCTCCTTTCCAGAAAAAAAAATGGGTGAATGAAAGCCTGTGTGTACATATGTATAATATACATGCCCACATTTTAAGGGTTTCTGTGCCCTGGTTAAGAATTTCTGAATTCTAGGAGGTATAAGGAGGCACTAAAGTGACAGCAAAGAAGGCTCCTTGGTGTGCTGAGGGGCAAGTTCTCCTCAGAGGACTGGCTTTACTCAGAGAGAGGAAGCTGGCAGTCTGACTGGGAAGGGTTGTCCCTGTTTTCTTATTCAGTGGTTTGAGGCGCACTGTCCTGACAATTCTGCACTGGCTTTGGGGTATGGAAGCCAGAAGGCAGGGCAGTTCTGGACACACCTGCCCAATATTCAGTGATGAGGTGTGTTTTAGAACTGGAGGGAAGAGCCCTCTAACAGTGCATGTGCTATGGTTTAGGACTGGCTAAGCATTTCAACTGGCTAAGCATTTTACAACATTTCTGTAAAGTAGGGACTGGCATTCTATTTTCACTGGTGAGGATCCCAAGATTTAGGGAGTTAGCTAATTGTTCCAGGTCATCTAGTACTGCGGCAGCACTGCAGCGATGAAACCCCAGGTCACTCTGGCAGTAGACACCACTGCAGGAGTCAGGCTTGTTACTGAAGACATTCCTTTCAGCCTGAGGGGCCAAGCAGGCTGGCCATTGCTACTAGGACATTTCTAACCATGGTTCCAGATGTGCAGTCTCACTATTCTCTCAGCACATCCCAGGCTTGAGCCAACCTTGCCTACTAAAGTTACCTGCATGGCAAATACACCCATAACCGTATAATTTATTCAAGGCCTAGCTAATGAACACCCTGCTTTCTCTGTGCTGCCTTCCCTAATCTGGGATGTCTGCTGCTCTTGCACTGAGCTCTTAAACAGGCTAATCTCTCTGCCTGCTGTAGGCTGGCTTTACTCTAGATAATACTACATCATTCCATCTTCACTGGGAACCTTTCCACACAGGGCTGGCATTCAAATCACTTTGGACCCCATATTTCCCAGCCCAATACTTTACAGATCAGACATTTCACAAGTTAGTCCTGTGATGATGATGGTGCCAGTGTCAATGATACAAACAGTAAAACCTAATCCTGTGGCTAGGGATATTTCTAAGGCCACAAGCATGGCTCCTTGTCCTGTGTGGCAGCAGGAATTCTCTACACTAGGCTCTAGCCTGCTCTAGTCCTCAGTCCTGCTGAGTGGGGACACAATGTCTGCCATCTACTGTCTGTCACCAACCACAGCTACACTGTGTAAAGGGATGAAAGAACAAAACACCCATGAGACAACACTGGCTTTTGAAACAGGTATGTAGGCTCTCTTGTTTAATAGCAGTTAAAGGAGGAAAATATACAAGAAGAACAAACATGCTCTTTCCACAGAGGAGCTATCCCTCACCATGCGGCCCATCTGTTGCAGTAGCTTTACTACTGAGTTTTTTTTTTTTAGAGAAAAAGCTCCCTTTACAGTTAAAAATGGACTTTACTAAATCCTCCCCATAAATTTAACTTTGTGCAAAATAAAAAGCCATTTCTGACACAACAGTGGAAAGTAATTACAAATGCAGGCAAAGAAAAGCAAAGGAGAAAAAGAAGAAAGCTGGGCAAGGAGGGAGGGAGGGAGAAGGAGAGAAGAAAGAAAGAAGCAATGGAAACAGAGAGAGAATCCCAGAGGGGAGGCTCAGGGAGGGGGCTTCTGAAGCCTGACCCAGGGCATGCACTCGGAGACATGTGCCAATACTCCCCCAGGTCTGGGACTTGCTGAGCAAGTATGTAGAGAATCTAGAACAATTTTGAGGATCGGGAGACTGTAAGGCCTATTATGCAATGAAATTCCTGGGGCATACTCCATGGAAGCTGTATACATCCCCTTTGCCTAAAGGGACTCTGCTCATTCTAATATTCAGGTCGTGTTTGTCTATATTTCAACAGCTTCATCTAGTCTTCTCAAAGAGATTTTCCTATGAATGCTAAAACTAAGCAAGCTGCCTCTATTTAATCACTGAAGTCCAGCGGGGTCTCAGAGTCCTCAGGAACATGGACCTTCTTTTCCCAGCAACTTGACCAAAGATTCATGATGATCAGAAGACATCCATATTCCCACCCCTTTACTAAGGTCCTCCAGGGCACTTCTAGGCATGTAGGCATTTGAGGCCAGATATGAGGAGTCTGAGGGGCATAGGCACAAGTCCTCTTAACTGTTAACTCAGCTATGGCCCTACAGATAAAACTAAAAATTTCCCACTTCATTGAGTCAAAAAACATTGACATACATGGACCCTATCTTTTTATCTTCCAGGACTCCCCAACAGTTATAACTCTAATACCACTCAGAAGCAGCATGTTGTGTTTTATGTTTGTTTTGTTAGAATAGAGGCATACTGAGAGAGAAGAGCAGATACCCCAAAAAAGTACAGTCATATGAGTCTTGCACTTGAATAAGCATTCTCTTTAGCAGGACTTTTGTGCAGAAGTAGTCTCTATTCCTCCACCCTATTCCCTTTTCCTAAACAGTATGGTTCTTTGAAGGTAGAGGTTGAAGAGCAATGCAGCAATAATACCTTGAAAAAGACAAGCGTGATATTCTTTCCATTCTCTCCAGAGCATTGAAAGTTGAAGAGATTTGCTGCAAACTGAATACTAGTGAAGGAGGGGATCTTAGTTCTTTCTCAAGCAATAGGACTTCAAGTTAGTGTAATTATATCTTATCCTTTTCAACAAAATTCATGGCTGGGAGATACCATCTTGTCTTGTTACCAAAATGGTATCAAGTTTTGAGTGGCATTGCTGTTCTGTGACCCTCATCCTAAAACTCTGGGCCAGAATGAATCTTGGCAAGATTCTACAGGAACACATTTGTTGTCTCATCTCTCCAGTATCGAGGAGGTTATACAACTGTGTGCACATTCTCTTCCCCAGTGGTTGTCAAATTGTGGTAGGATATGATGTGGATAGGAGTAGGAACAAAAAAGGAAGTTCTGCTTTCCCCAGAAGCAACTCAGTAGCCAAGAAAGGTAGTGAAGGCTTCTGTGGATGAATCTCTCCTCCCGGTAATCCAAGGTGGAAATAATTGTGTGCTTGTCTCTGCTTGCTGAAGCTCATTGATATTCTTCCCAGTTGCCTTGGTTACATCCTCCTGCAGTGTCTTAGTATGTAGGTTCCTCAGACTGACCTCAAGGGAAAGTCCTTGCATGAAGTCTCAGGAGTCCATCTGCAACAATTATTATAGCCTCCAAGCTAAGCCCAGGCTCAAGAGTTTGGGGGATAGGATTACAGGCAACTGTTCTCAGACGAGGACAAAAGATGGCTTTGGGGCTCTCAGAAAAGGATGGAAGCCTTGAGCTTCAGCAGGAAGAGCTTCGTATCCAGCATACAACTCAGTAAACATTGGTTTGGCCAGAAGCAACGAGCTGTGAGCCATAGTTGGCCATCTCACTTCTTGGTGGTGGTAGATCCACCACTCCAGGTATATAGTCTACGGTGTAGAGCTAGTCATATTTCTGTTACAGATGGTGGGAAGAATGCTGTTTTGAAAACGTGAATGAACAATCCTAAGTAAGTCTCAGATTTTCTCAAAGTGTACAGGGTTATTTTCAGGCATAAGAGACTCAATTGATTTTAGTGATGTTGCTGGAGGAGGCAAGTCTAACACTCTCTGTGAGAACTTATGGCAGTAACTGTTGACCTGTGAATCAAGTGCTCTCACCATGACAGAAGGGAATGAGATGAATGAGGAGGAGCCAGGGCTCTGATTCAAACTGGCTTTCGAGATCCAGACAAATGCTCTAGGCAGAGTGAAACTCAACACTCCCAGCATGAAAAAAACCTGCAGTTCACCATGGAGTCCAAGTTTGATTGCTTCCTATTCAGCTACGTTGACCCAGAAAAATAAGCAGTAGAGGTCTTGTGTTAGATCTGGGTTAAAGAAACTGTCATCCTTGGGGGGCTGGAGTGAATCTGTCATCTTGCCATACACCCTGCTTGTTTACCACCTAGTGAAAGTCAGAAGACAGAGGAGATGGACATGTAGAATTGTGTGGTCTTTAGTGTCATTAAACAGTAATGTTTCCCAGGTCCTTTGGTGCCAGGAAGGATCAGCTTCCTCATCTATATGGTGAATGGGACACCCAAGAGCCAGGATATATTTCATTATCTTTTTGCTTACTCACCTCACTTTCCCAGCCCAATTACCTTCTCAGTTTATGTAACTCCTGGGCCTCAGATCTAAACTCTAGAGCCACAGATGGATGAAAAGTGGTTCACCACATTGAGAATGATGATGCCACCCTCCTAGGATAATACAGATAGTGTTGTAATCACTTCCCCTGAGTCCCTGCCTAGCAACATCTTATGTATTTGCTTATTCTTATGCCTCTTTTACTGTAGGGAAAGGCTATGTGAATACTGTACAGGGGTTAATAAAAAAATAATATGCTCTCTTTTGAGGAAGAATGCACAAATGCAGGAGCAGCCTGGGCTGGATCCTAGACTGAGGAAGTGCAGGCCTCTGTGGGCCTAGGCCAGCCTTCACGAGTGGTGGCTGCTGATGAGTCCTCGGAGCTGCCTGGCCACAGTGTCAATCAATTTCTGCTTGTCTCGTTCATTTTTCCGAAACTGGGCAAACACATTGTTCTTGCGGCTAGTATCCTTCATCCTAAACAGAGAAAAAAAAAAAAAGAAGGAAAGATATTTGAGGCAATATTGGAAGGAGAACTTGCAAGAGGTAAGATGGAATGATGTCTCTTAACCTCTACCCAGAATGGAACAGTTCAGACTATTACCACTGTCAGACCTGAACTTACCCACTAATTAGGGAATTGTCCCTCTGGCACCCACAGCCCTCCCAACTTCAGGTACCAACAATCAAGACCAGCTTTTCAGAGGACCTAACCTACTTATTTCTCACACTTACCTTCCCTACTTAAACCCTTTGTGTTCCAGGTACGCACCTGTTACAGGACTCAGACATGCTGCAGTTCTGTTAAGTCAAGGGATTCTTACAGAAAGTCTATGGTCCAATCAAAATTACAGGAGTCGGTTGGGTCCTTAAAAATGGTATTGGAAGGTGAAGCAGAAAAAAAATGCTCTTAAAAGAAGCAGTTCCAAGAGAACATAAATAACTGACAGCCCGTCTTTTTATTTTACTAGCTTACATTATACAAAGGAAGATGTCACAGTTACATTTCCACGTTTATAATATGTTCCAATCACTTTCACCCCCACTATCACTATGTTGCCACCGTGTATTTCTCACCAGTCTAGCCAGTTACTTGACTAAAAAAAATTGTGTGTGTGTGTGTTTTGTCTCAGGGTAAGGACTAATAGGCAGTAAAGACAGCAGCCTTGCTTTTGGCAAGGCCATCCTCTTACTTGATAAACCAGGGCTTTTAAATAAGAGAAGTCTTTGAATTCTCAAAAGTTGGCTGTATTCTCAAATCTTTGACCTTTGAATCATGGTAATGCTTCACAGATGATATATTCCTAGAGCAAAAATAATGGGCAGTTCTGGCCAATGGTGTTGTAAGATGGAAAGCCCTAACTGGGAGTATGGATTAAGAAAGTCAAGATTAGACCGAGATGGTCACTGAACTTCCAAATCTAACTAAGCCACTGTGACAGAATCCAGTAAACTGTTATTCCTATTATATGGCCCATAGGGGTGACACTGTCTAAAAAGAAATGCATTATTTGCCTGAGTTATGTAACTGTAACCCTTCTGTAATAATAAAAGCATTAAAAAAGAAAGCTCATAACCCCTTTGCATCTATGGCTCACTGCAAACCAGACCTCTGCCAATGGCTATCTCCAGTGTTAGGAGAATTATGAAGAGTATGCAGACCAGTTTCTTTCAGATTAGGATAGACCAATCTTTTTTTTTTTTTTTTTTTTGGTCCGGTCGTGGGGCCTGAACTCTGGGCCTGGGCGCTGTCCCTCAGCATTTCAGCTCAAGGCTAGCGCTCTACCACTTGAGCCATAGCAGCATTTCTGGCTTTTTTTTTCTGCTTATGTGGTGTTGAGGAATCGAACCCAGGGCCTCATGCATGCAAGGCAAGCGCTCTACCACTGAGCCACCTTCCCAGCCCTAGGCCAATCTTTACTATCCTTCCTTAGGAGCTGGCCTAGCTCTCTGACTTCACTACTTTCTGGGCTATACAGACAGGTTAGAAGAGGGAAGGGAAGGAGCCTGGAACTGGGGTATAAAGTACTCCAAGGTATATTTCCAGAGGCCTCTGGCCAACTGTGGGTCTCTCCCTCTCTCCTCACTATGGGCAATCCTTTTGCATACTGGCAGATGTCCAGCTAAGCACAAGAACCGAGATCCCACTGGGCATTTATATCTGGTATGCATGGCATGTATATTTGTCTGTGAGCGCATGTGTGTACACACACACCATCAACATATATTTATGTACACATATACACAAATATAGAATATATATATATATATATATTCCATAAAGACATTCTATGTGGCAAGGAGGTGCTGATGAGAACCACAGCTGTATAACTATGGCTGACTGTGACAGCCAAAACTAACTGAGATTTTTCTCCCTGGTCTAAGCTCCAAATAATTTTTTTCATGCTGGAATTACTCATCAAACACACTCAGAGCCACCACCCACATGTGGAGGCTTGTACTTGGCTGGGAAGAAGGAAGAGAATTGACAGGGCTTGGTTGAAAAGACGCATAAGAGTCCTCACTGCATTTTGTTTCTTAGAGCTGTCTGTAGAACTGGCTTTATTTTTAGATCATCCCAGACAAGGATTCCCTTTCCTCTGCTGGGTATGCTATAAATCTAAACAACAAAACACAAAACAAACAGAAAGAGGAAATGAAGAGAAACATTTTCTGCATTCACAGGACATGTAGTTTAATGCCCTCTGCTATGGTTAACTTTATGACTCCTTGAAGCAGTCCAGGGACAGACAGCCAGAGCTGGCTTTCAGCTCCCACAGGGAGGCTCTGTACTATGTAGGAGAAGGTAAAGAAGAGGGCAATCTCTGAGTCCTAGAGGCTAGGAGTTCTTGGCCATTAAGAATTGGCCATTAAGAATTGGAATTAGACACTGTAAAAATAAACTAAAATGCCCTGAGGGCTAATGGTGGAAAGCTGGTCATACCCAGGAATGTTCTCAAACTAAAAGTGAACTTCCCACCTCCTATCCCTTGTGCAAGCCCAGGATTCTGTTCTACTCTAGCTATGGTATCTCTCAATGACACAGGCGCCTCCTTTTCATGCTGAATGTTTTCAACAGGTATTTGCGTCTTCCTATGTCTACTTTGCTAAGATGGCCCAACTTGAAAAGGAGAGATTGTCAAGCTCAAGTGATACAACTTATGTGAGGAAATAGGAATGGGTCAGGTAAATCCCTACAAGGCTGGAAGATATGGATCTTAGTGCTATGGATGGGCTTTTTCCCTACTGTGTTGGGAATGAAACTGTTAACCCTGCTAGGGCTAAACATATAGCTTTGTTATAGGCTGGTCAGGACAATTATTTTAGCCTAGTGTTGATATACAAGACATTGGTGAGCCAGAACTTTCCGGACCAAGAGATTCTCAGGAATGAAGAGGTAAAAGACTCCTGAGAGAAGTTATGGGCTGAGAGAATCTCAGAGGCCATTTGGACCATTTAGTTACCAACTCAAAGGTTAACACGAGAACTTTGTGATTAGGGCTTGGCTTTAGCAAGGAATCTTCCTGGAGTCGTAGACTGCAGATCCCAGAGCCATGGGCCTCACCGCTACCAAGAAATTGGCACATTGATGAGGAGCTCTCTTCTTGTCAGGGTTGAATTTCAGGCCCCATACTAGAAAGCACTGAGTATGCCAGGAAGCTGAGTTGGAATAATCCTTTACCTGGTACTGATAGGGAAAAATCCCTACCACCACTACTCCCAGCCCCAAAGGAATTGGTGAGTCAAGGGTCACTCTAAGGAAGAGGCATCCAGCCAGTTGGCACAAGGCTGGTTTAGTAGATTAGTTTGTCAGGGTAAAGATGATATACAGGATAGGGATTTTAGTGTAGTCATTAATGTCAGTGAGGAAACTAGAAGGACTTGCCTCGAAGTGGTGGAAAAGGCCCAAGTAAATAATATACTTACTCTCTAGATATCCTAGAAAGGAAAGTTATTGGGAGAGAGAACCATGGGAAAGAACGTTAAAATAGAAGCAACAGTCTTTGCTATGATGTCTACATCTTAGCTTCAATTACATTTTCCTGTGTCCTGTTTACCCTCTATAGCTTATTCTTCATCTCTATCTTCTCTCCCTTGATCACAGTGCATAGTAAGAAGGACTCCTTCTGACCCTTCGAGAAAGAGAAAGTCTTCCTTAGGATCCCATACACTCTGGGTCTTGCTTCCTAGGATTTGAGACATGCTTGACTAGCCATACATGTAGACTTTTTTTTTTTTTTAACTGACTTTTAGACTAGTCTTTCCAATTGCAAGAGAAAGCTATCCTTTTATATATTGGGGTTGATCTCTGACTTTCTAGCTCTCAGCTAGATTAGCAAAAGCTAGAGCCAGGCTGCAATATATAGCAGATTCTAGCTTCTAGGCAATATATTGGTTAGCACTCAGATGCTCTAGAGGTGGGTAACCTAATTCCAGAGAAGCTGTGCAAAGCAACCTTTGCTGTCCAGTGACAGCTTTTAGGCAAGAATCAGACACCATAACATAGCATTTTTGGGACAGTCAGTATAACAAAGCTCATTCTGGCAGAGTTTGGACAGATGGAAGTATCAATAACTCTCAGGAATCCTCTGCTGGGATTCAGTGAGACTACTTCTCTGTGGTACAGCTTCATCTACCAACATATCATAAACTAGTGGAGCCAGCCTATTCAGCTTACTAAGCTAGCTTGATCTCAACTAGACTATCTTCTTTTCTTTTGTCTTCTTTAGCTACCTCATTAGACTAACAGGTAATTTTCAGTTCTGACCTGTACTTGACCTAGCTTGTTGGAGCACAAGAAACAAGAAGAGGAAATGTTGCCTGTTAAGTGCAATGACTAGAATGGCTGATAGGACCTATGGTAACTTCAAGAACAAGGATGCATCTCAAGGCATCAGAAACAGAAAATTTTTCTTCTTATACCCTCTGCTCCACCCCCAACTCCCCAGCTCCCAACACCAACCACTGGACTAGGTACTCACTTCTCAAGCAGGGTCAGAGCTGTTACTGGATTTACACGGAGGTACTTGCAGTTGGGCTGCCCATAGTCAGCAAGGTAGGTTGACCAATCCCATTGAATGAAAAGATCCAAAAGCTGTAAAATAGCCAAATCCCCATATCAGAGATTAGTCAAAACCAGGATACTAGTGATCCCAACATTCCTTTTTACCAAGTAGATAATCTATCTGGAAAGTAGAAGTAAAGAAAAGGAGAAAAATGGCTATCAATGGACTGGAATGTGGCTTAGTGGTAGAGTGCTTGCCTAGCATACATGAAGCCCTAGGTTCAATTCCTCAGTCCCACATAAACATAAAAAGCTGGAAGTGGTGCTGTGGCTTTAGTGGTAGAGTGCTAGCCTTGAGCAAAAGAAGCTCAGGGGCAGTGCCCAGGCTCTGAATTCAAGCCCTAGGACTAGCAAAAAAAAAATAAAAAGAATGGCTATCGAATATGGTGCAACTAACAAAACAAATTGGTAGTAAACAATAAGTTCTGTCATAAGCACAGTGCCATTGCTAGGACTACATGTCAGACATGAGCTCTCAGAGAAAAACTGTAAAAGAACAAAACTGGATTGATCCCAAGGGCAGAACTCTCATACTCATCACTCATTATTAATTTCACAAATGCTTGTCAAATGCCTTCCCTATGCCAAGCCCCACTCTAGGAGATCAGGTTTCGACAATGAGCAAATAAAGGTGGTTATATAGTCCAGTGCTGCAGTAAAATTTTCAACATCAGCTAATTTAATACTAACAATTGTTCATGTTCCCATATTGGTGGTCAACCCAATATCCTTTATAGCCTTTTTGTTGTTACTCCATCACAAGATGCAGTTTAGGATCAGGTAATACATTTAGTTGTCAGGTTTCCACTTTCCTTCAACAGGAAATATTTCTGCAGCCTTCTTCCTTCCTTCCTTCCTTCCTTCCTTCCTTCCTTCCTTCCTTCCTTCCTTCCTTCTTCCCTCTCTCCCTCCCTCCCTCCCTTCCTTCCTTCCTTCCTTCCTTCTTTTTCTGTCCGTTGTGGTGCCTGAACTCTGGGCCTAGGTACTACCCCTCAGCTCTTCAGCTCAAGGCTAGCGCTCTACCACTTGAGCCACAGCACCATTTCCAGCATTTTCTGTTTATGTGGTGCTGATGAATTGAACCCAGGGCCTCATGCATGCGAGGCAAGCAATCTACCACTGAGCCACCTTCCCAACCCCTCTTTTTCTTTTTTAAAAAATGATATTTACATACTAAATTACAGCTCATGGGAGATGGGAAGGGATGGGAAGGGGAAACAAAGGAGGAGGCAACATTGCTTGATAAGAAATGTCATCATTATCTTGCCCATGTAATAGTAATTCCTCTGTATGGTATTTTCACAATTAAAAAAATTGAAGGACAAAAAATTACAGCTCATTATTATTTATTCATTTTATTATGTTTATTATCATGTTTATTATAGCTGTACAAAGTGGTTTCAATTAAACATGTCCATTTATGTATACTTCTTGGTCATTGTCACCCCTTCTATTATTCTCCCTGCATCTATCCCAACCCCATTTATCTCAAGTTTCATTTTCCCCTATGTACTCTTGAATATTATACCTGTATTCACCATTCCTCTCTCCATTCACCTGCATACCACCCCTTAGTCCCTGTCCTCCAAGGATAAGACATATTTCAACTCTCTGGTGTTCACTTTGTTAAACTGTCTGTTAATTGTCTCTAACCCCGACTTATTTCACACAATATGATTTTTTTCTAGGTCATCCATTTCCCCACAAATGACATATTATTGTTCCTAATGAACACAATTTAATTAAATATAACCCTCCCCCCACTCACACACACACACACACATTTACTTGATCTATTTGTTGGTTGTAGGGCACCTGGGCTGTTTCCATAACTTCACTATTATGAATAATGCTACAGTGAACATGGGTATGCAGGTGCCTTTTTTGTATCTTGACTTACAATCTTCTGGATAAAGTGCCCAAGAGTAGTCTTCCTGCATCATAGGCTAGTTCTGGTTGTTTTTTTTTTTTTTTTTTTTGAGGAATCTCTATACTGACTTCCACAGTGGTTGTTCTAATTCACATTCCCACCAAAAATGTGTCAGGATTCCTCTTTTTCCTTGCATTCTCCCCAGTATTTATTGTTGATATTCTTGATGATAGCCATTCGGAGTGAAGTGAGAAGGAATCTCAGAACTATTTTGATTCGCATTTCCTTTATAGCCAAGGATGTTGAGCATTTCTTCATACATTTATTGGCCATCTGTACTTCTGAGAAATGTCTGTTTAGCTTCTTTGTCCATTTGATAAACATTTTAAAATATATTTAGTATCATTCCTCCACTTTTCCCTTTAGCTTAGGTTTGTCTGAAGCTTTCTACAAAGGTTCATGCTATGCATTCCTGTCCAAAGCAGCTCGTTAAGTGGTGCTGTAACCTCTTCAGTGTCACAAATGGACACATACAATGTTCATCTATACATCACAGACAAAATTAATTAATCTTTGATCAGCACCTGGAGAAGCTTACTAGTTGCAAACTAGCTTCCTGTTATTTATTTTGTTAAACTGTCTGTTAATTGTTTAAAGGTTTATACCATGGAAACCCATCCCCGCATACACCATCGTCAGTTTGATTGTGTATGTATGTGATCTTTTTGGATACATACAAATACAGTACTCCTGATTAAAATCTCTCATATTAGGCATCCAATAACGATTTTTGCTGGATCCTGGCTTTACAATAATAGTTACAAACTTATGAGGTTCTATATTCTGTCCACATTTATCAGTTATCATTCATTCTATTGCAAGGAAGTGCTCCTCTCCCCTATAAATATATTTAAACATGCATTACTGGTTTGGACTCATGGATTCCCAATCTTTTTATGGCTTATACTCATTACTATGACTACTGTTCTGATGCTCAAATTATAGGCTCATCGCACATTTACTCTGCCCCAGCTCTATAGCCAGCTATTTCTTAGTAGATTCTTCTAGTAGTATGTTATTGGAGTGTCTTTATTCACCATTGGGTGATAGTTTACAGGGAACATAGTCCTTTTAGCAGATAAGCTAGGAAAAATGTACATATGAATACACATATACGCACATATATTTTAAAAGTCATGGATCCAGCCATGTGCCAGTGGCTCATGCCTCTAATCCTAGCTACTTTCAAAGGCTGAAACCAGGAGGACATCAGTTTGAGGCAGCTGGGGCCTAAAAATGTAAGTCCATTGGTCTCCATCTCAAAGAAAGAAACTGAGTATGCTGGCATGAGCCAGTTATCTTGACCATGGTTTCAGAATTATTTGCACATACCACTATAAAACCCCTGACTCTCCAATAACACAATGCTACAAAAAAAATCAGTTCAAGATCTGTTCATAATTCTCCCTCTGAAGGGGACAATCACACATGTGCCAAATACAGTATTTGGAAACCACTTGGACCAGTCCTCCATTTTGTTAATATTGGTAACAGATTTTGTTTTCTTAAAAATTTTTTTACTTTGAAATAACTGCAGACTGACATAAAAGTTACAAAAATGTACAGCGTTTCTCTATACCTATTATGTTCACGACTTACATTGCTATGGTATAATTGTCTGAATTAGGAAATTAACATTGGTATAATATTATCAAATTACAACTTTATTCTAAGTTCACCATATTTTCCAATTAATGTAGTTTGTTTCATTTCTGGAATCCAATCACGTCTTATACATTATATTTAGTTAAAATGCTTTCTCAATGTCTTCTAAGCTGTTACACCACTTCAGTCTTATCTTTATTGTTGTTTTGTTGTTATTAAGTAATTGCACGAGGAGTTTACAATTCCAAAAGTCAAGTTATAAGCACAATGCTTTATGAACAATGCCATCCCTTTCATTCATTGTTTCCCCAATTTTCATCCCCCATCCCTCCCCTGAAGTTATGTAGTTCAACTTTTATGTAATTGTAAATATTGAATATAATGGCTTGCATTTTACTCATCTTTACTCCTTCCATTCATGTACCCTCTGTTATTGCCCTCTCCTTTTCCAATTCCTGGTATTCATTTATTCAACAGTTCATTTAAGTATTTTTAAAAATGTGATTGTAAATCTGATACACAGAGGGGTTACAGTTACCTAAGTCAGGTATTCAGTACACTTTTTGAACCCCTCACCCTGCTCCGCCCCATCCCCTTTTGCCCTCACTTGTACATGTCATTTAAATTTTATCTTGTAAAATCTTGATACAGACCAGGCATTGGTAGCTCAGGTATTGGTGGGTCATACTTATAATCCTAGCTATTCAGGATCCTATTGAGGATAGGCTGAGATCTGAAGCCAGCTTGGGCAGAAAAGTCTATGAAACTCTTACCAGAAAAAAGCCAGAAGTGGAGGTGTGGCTCAAATGATAAGAGTACCATCCTTGGGCAAAAAAAGCTAAGGAAAAGCTTCTTGGCCCAGAGTTCAAGCCCTAACACTGGCAGACACACACACACACACACACACACACACACACACACACACACACACACACACACACACACACACACACACACCTTAAACCAAAACAACGAAACAACCCTCAGTATTTATGATATATTTAAATGTTTATTTTGTTAAATGTCCCTCAATTTGGGTATCTTCTCATGATTAGGTTGAGACAGAAGTTATCAAGCAGGGGAGATTTTGTCTTCCAGAGGCACAGGGGGAATTTCTGATTAGCACAAGGTTGGGGCAGTGGTAGTGATTGCATTAGTTTCTAGCAGCTAGGGACAGGGATTCTGTAAACCATCTTATAGTGCAAAGGGCAGTTCCTACAACAAAGAATTACTTTGGCTCAAAGGTACTGAGTGAGGTTCAAAGGTTAAGAGACCCTGGACTGAGGTTATTCAATTTTTGTAAAAATATCACAGAAGCGTTATTATGCCATTCAAATGTATCAAATCATGTCTATGTCTCCATTGCTAGTCATATTACCCTTGGTCATTTGGTTCAGGTGGTAGTTGATGGTGTTTCCCCATGGTAAAGTCATTACATTCCTCTTTGTAATTAATTCATTTCTTAGTGGAGATATTGTTTCAGACTATGCAAACA